GGTGCATTGTTCAATACGTGTTTTTCTGACAGAATGCATGGAAAATATCCCAATCTCGCGCGAGCGAACAATGCCGCCGTATTCCCTCGCGTTCACGTTTTGCCTCGGCTTGTTTCGCCCTCCTTTTCTCGCCCGCCTCCATTCGTGAGACTTCTTTTTAAAGCAGGAGGCCTCGCTGCCCGTGCCGTGGGAGGCGGCTGCGTTTCGGTCCTCCGCTGTTCTATTATTGGGCGGGAGGGGGCGGGGGGGGGAGGTGCGAGTGGAGAGCGCCATGCTCACGTAGCCCATTATTTCTCTCATCATGTGTTCTCACGTTTTTCCTCTCCATCCCTCCTCCCCTCCCCTCTCTCCCCTCTCTCCCCCTGCAGAACCACACACTGAGTCAGCACGCGCAGTGAGACCGAGGCCCGGCAGGATCTCTCGACTCAGCCGGGGCCCCCGACCCGGAGCCGGCGGGGGACTCCCATCTCCACAACACAGCCAATCAAAGTGTCATTTGCTACTCACATGTAAAACTCTAACGATCGCGCCACTGGGCGCGGCTATTAGGAGCAGCGGGGGAAAGGAATATTAATGGGATGTGCTATTAAATGAAGAAAGGAAAAATTGGGTGAGAGAAACGGTGAGAGCCACGCGACGGAAAGAGAGTGGCGAGGAAAAAAAGGTATTGTACGTGCAGTATTTTTTATTGTCCCCCGCGAACCCCCTCCCGACCAGCCTCTTCCTCCTCTCCTCCCCCGGGTCAGGCGTTTTATTTTTTTTTTAACAAATGGAAAAGGAGAAAAAGCAAGAACATTTTTTTTCTTTCTTTTTAATAGATTGTAGCGAAAAAATATTTTTCTTTCTTGTCCCCTCGGTTGCTTATTGTATTTAACTTCATAGGTGCCAATTTTGTTGATTTCTTTTTTCCGCCATAAGCTTCTTTGTATTCATTTTTGTACCTTTCATTTCCCGCCGTAAGTAGGTACTTGTGCTGTGTTGTGATTGTTTGTTTGCCAGTCGTGAAAGATTCCCAAGCCCCCCCCTGCCCCCCCGCCCCCGAAACTCTCCTTTTTATGATTATTGTTATATATATTTTTCTTTTTTGTAATTATTATCAAAAAAGTCTCATCAAAATAAAGTGCAGAAAACCATACGGATGTTTCTTTTTTGGGATTGGGTTTTCCAGTCTCTATGGGGCCTATAATGGTTATTGTATAAATGAATATCAGCGATTTCAGTGCGTCTGGTCAATGACTGCTTTTTAAATGTGAATTAACCAGATTGCAATAATCTAGTAAAGACAAAAAAAGATAAAAACAAATAAATAAATGACAAAGAATTCCTGTGTGATGTGCATTCATTCCAAAGTACTCATGTGTCATTTGTAACTATCTCTTTATACCCAAGTCTGGTGGAAATACTAATGAGGGGGATTGAAATGTGCTTTAAATAATGCATCCAAAACACGTAATGGGATTCTTGCTGGCCATGTGCTCAACAGGTCTTCAGATCTGCAGAATGAGGTGTTCAGCAGTAATACACTAATATATAAACTGCAACTATGTATTCTTGATTCTAGTAAACGTGTGTTAAACTATCCATCGTATGTTCTGTATCATATAAAAAGGTTACATTTCGGATTATGAAACAATACACACACCTTGTAATTCAAATAAACACGTGTGAGTGAATTAACTTTTTTTGTGACGCAAAACCGCTTTCTGGGTGAACCAGCGTGACAACATTTTCTCCTGCATGCAGTTTGCATAGTTATGCATATCACACTTCATATCCACTATATCGCTGCTCAGAATGTCTGAGTGGAGTCAATGACGGGTTGATTTCACATTCCCCTTAAAGGTGAAACCATTAAGTCGCAAGCTGCACGGAACGAATACTGTAGAGATGAAAATCTATCATTGTCACCTGCACTGTGAACCCCAAGGGATTCGCGTGTTGACCCATCCACACGGTGCTTTGTGAGGAGCACTGACGGGGAAACTTCTCCCGTCTCCGTCGTCATAAAGCACAGACCGATTGTATCTACTCATAAAAAGAAAATTTCCAATGAGAAAAAAAAACAGGGTGTATATGTTGAAAGTCGGACCGCTTTCCCCCCCACACATTTTTTTTGATTCCCTCTAAGATAACCAAAAAAAGGGGGCCCCCCCCCCCCCCCCCCCTGTTTTTGGGGATTTAAAAAGAACTTGGGGGGTCACTTTCCCAGAATCCCCCCCCCCCCCAAAAAAATAGAGCCTTGAGTACCAGCCAGCTGCCGCCTACACCTGCACATCCAGCAGACGCAGAGCATCGCGATCATCCACCTCCGGTCCCCGGGTGAAGGTGAGTTCTTTTGTGGCTCAGACACGTGTTCAGATTTGATATGAATGAGCGATGAGTGTCAGCAACACAGTCCCAACACTCCGCGGGGTCAAGGGTGCTTTGGGCTGCATGCTAATGTGTGTACGCTGTAACACCCACGGTGCAAATGCTAGCTGTGCAATGTTTACACAAATAGCACTCGACACAAGGTTCAACCGATGGGGGTGAGTCCTCTTATTTGGTCTTAACGTCAAACCAAATGATTCGACAAATTGAATATTTGACCTGACAGCTGCAGTAATTAAAAGTCAAGGGATCACCAAAAGTGATTTCAAATAATCCAGATGTATGCCCCAATTTTTTTTTTCGTGGCAATCCAGTCAAGAGCTGGTGAGACGTTTCCCTTCAGAACCACAAGGGTCGTCCTCGTGGTGGAGTAAAAGTCATGCGATCACCAAGTGGAATTCACTCTCTGGAATACATTAATAATCCGGACACAATTTTGTGCAAATCCCTTTTGTAGATGTTGGGATCTTTCCCTAGACATGTGGAAAAACAGATGTTGGTGCTCAATGAGAGGTCCGGGGATCATTTGTCATTTGCATGGCCCAAAAAACAAATTTAGGGGAGTTTATTCAGAAGAAATGAGTTTCACTTTGGTATTTCATGGACTCTCTGACACCGAGCCACTTTCCCTCTGATTCTGAGCTGCTCATAGCATAAATCATACACATGTTGTTGTTGTTGTTGTTGTTGTACATGATCTCCTGTGGCCGTGGTTCCTATGACTGACGGACTTGTGTAGTCCTTCAACCTTCTGGTTTGCCGATATCCACGTGTCTGGGTAGCTGAGTGTGTGCCGCTGCTGAGAGCATCCCCAACAGAAGTACAGTAGGCCTCGTGTATTAATACCCTGGTTACAAAACTCTCTGAAGCAACTGCCCCTGTTAAACATTCTGCACCACTGACCCTACAAGCATGGCAGGTCAGATAATAAACTTGGTTCCACCAAATGTCTTTGTTTTGTGTCCATGTAGAAGAAGTCCTTTTTTTCACACGTCACATTTCTGGCTATATTTAGTGTTTTGTTTATTAACCGCAGGTAGCCAACCTTTCCTCACAAGTGGCATTTACGCCGGCACTCGGTGGGGCAGGTGTAAATGCCACGTGGTCCATCTTAAGCCGATGGTCCAAGTGGCTCCCAAAGTTAGAAGTCGAGGCTTAAGAGACCCCGAACAAACCTTGTTGTATGTATTTACAGGTTTTATTTCGATTGCTGAACGACAGCGGACACAACTGGAGTCACGTGTGCAAAACTCTAACCACAGTCTGCACAGCAGCAGTTCATGTGGACCAAACTCTAGTTCGTTTTTCATTGCTGGACCACAGTTTTCAAAACTCTACACACTTATCCCGTGACTTATGACTTATATGTAGAGCTCAGAAAGACTTATTTTGGAAATGGAACAAGGAAGACGGGTTGGTGGACAAAGAGCCGTTACTTCAGATGAAATAAGGGCTTCACTTATTACGAATTTTCCATCATACAAACAGGTGAGAGGAGTTTCTCTTTGCCCGGAGGTGGAAAGTGTTTGTTCACCACCCACGTGACCGGATGTCTCTTTGGGAAGCCGGATGTGAGGACACGAGTCCAGAGGACGGCCAGGGATGGATGAGGCTTCCGGAAGGTTCTTCCCCAGGTTCATGGCGAGAGAGAACATTAGATGTGATGGTGATGAGAACCTGTGGCCTGATGCTAGAGAGGCAGGATCGGCCCCTCAGTTATTTGTTCACATTACAGTCTGTACTTTTAGTTTCTACCTTTTTTTCTCATTATTGTAATTCCGTAAATTACTACAGACTATTGAAGCAAACTGCTAATTTTCATTTACCTTAAAGAATTGTTATGTTCTAAACATTTTAATAAATCTGTTTTGAGAGTTGTGTTGCTTGGAGTGGGTTTTGCAGGTGATGTGAACTGTTCAGCTCAGGTGACTGTTGTTGGTGCTCTAGACTCTAGTTAGAGCACATGTGACTCCAGTTGTGCCCGCTGTCGTTTAGCAATCAGAAAAAAAACTGTAATGTGAAACACGAATGCCCCCATTTTCTGTTCTCCGTTACGAACCGTCGACGCGGCTTTTCGTCGTTCAGAACCGCGCAGAATCCGCCTCGGCCGGCTTCGGTCGGTTCAGCCTCCCGCCGCCACCCGGCGACGACGGGCAGCCACCCGGGGGCCGATAAGCATCGATCATCGATCGCCGTGCGGCTGAAAGCCAACGCAGGAGGTGGGGGAAGCGGGAAGGCGTTACGGCGGCGTCGCTCCTCTCCGAGACGGAGCGGCCTCGCTGGGGAGCGCGGCGTTCCCGGGGCCCCCGACAGCTGGCCGGGCTCTACTCTCCCGGTGAGGACGTGTTTGTGGCACAGTGCTTCGGGATGGGCCAGCTATTCATCACATGGAGGCTAAATTCCTTCTGCTGTCTCCTTCCAAAAGCACCATTATCAGTCTGCCGCCTCCTGAAAGGTCCGGCTTAAACCTTATACCATGACGAAAAGGCAATATTTTCATTAGTATTTGCCCTTTGTTCTAAGCGGAACTCCACAGGGACTTTCACTGAGGTCTCTGCACGTGCAAGCCTGTCCCTTAAGTGAACATACAACACGAAGCCTCCCGTAGGAAAGTACAACTCAATGTCCAAGATCGGTGTTACACCAACTCAGATCTTTAGATACTACAAAGACAGCTAGACGTACGGGTCAGAAGGCCGACCTGGCCAACGACCTTTGTTGCACTCCTGTCATTCCCCATCCTCCCTCGTCTGTGCTGTCGGCTTTCTGATGAAGACGTAACGCTATTTGCAGAGGGCGTTAGGTAACTTCGTTGTTCAGTGGTGGAGTTTGGGGTCGGGTGTCAAGGCAGAGTTCGTACAAGTTAGGCTGTCTCATGCTTGGCGGTGATCATTTACATCTTTTTCTGTTGAATTGGTCTCTCGCAAGTTCCCGGACTTGGAAGAGGACCACAACGACTTGTTCGACGTGCCCCTTTGACATTTGGAAAAACAGATTTGGTCACGCATGTTGGAAATGCCCCCTAGCGTTTGCAGTGAAGCCCCGCAGGTAAGGGCCTTTGCGTCCTACAGCATCCATGGGTACCTTGATTCAAATGCGAGCTCGTTGCCCCGAGCGAGGATAGACGCTTCGTCCCGGGACAAAATCAACGTCTGCGACCACAATTTGCAGCAGTAATCCTCAAATCCATTCCTTGGGGTTCGTGGGTGTTGGCGGTTTTCTTTCCCCCCCCGCTGGTTTAAATTCACCTGGCATCCCACTCTCATCAAGCACGTCTAGAATAAAAACTCAACTCTTAACACTCGGTGACTCTGTGTCAATCAAATGTGGGCTCTAGAAAAAGGCAGAAGGGGGAGCAACGTTTAACCAGGGTAGATAGATTGAGCCATTTCATCGTCCCGGAGCTCCGTTGATCGCAGCGCAGAGTAAAACCTGCCTCAACCAGTTGTGCGTCAAGCTGGACTGCGCCGCAGTTTGCC